ATAATTGGTTTGACAACTGCATAGTTTGTACACCCATTTTTGCTCTTCAATAGGCTAACATGACATTAATGTCCCAAATGTATTCATTCATTAACAAATGCCATACAAAAGGATTGTTTTCTTGTCACAGATAATAGTCAGCGGAACATTCAGTTCAATTCAACAGTAGCATGCTGAATTTAGCATGTTGACTTTTAATTAAGCAATTCCAGTGTTAGAGCCATGAGGTCAAACAGCACCTGAATGGTAATATAATACCTATGCTTTGCCTCCATTGTGAACGACACAATTATTTAAACAGTTTTTGTTGGCAAAATCTAAAGCAGGATAGTTGGAAAAAGATTTTTTCCTCTGATCCATGTTTGATTGAGAAAAGCAGCAGTTTAAATATAGGTATTCACAAATAAATACACAATAGGGACATATATTTTGGGCACTGTACCCGAACCTGAACAAAGAAAAGCATTGAAAAAAGAGCAGGATCTCTCCACATGTACAATCTCTGCTCCTTCAAGTTCTGAATTGTCCTTCCCTATGATATCTGCTTTCTTTGATTATGAGATGGGTTCTCTCTGGCTCTGTTCTGCAACTGGAGCAAACTGGAGTGGGGAATGGGAACTGCAATGGTGGAATGATCTGTGTTGTTATTGCCCAATTGTGCCTCCCAACTTTTACACACAAGCAAAGCATCCACTGCATTCTAACTATGTTAAGAATCAAGGTGGCCCAATTAAAATCCTTCTAGTTAGCTTTGTAACTTCTCTAAAAAATCAGCACAGCATGATTTCTATGATTTCTTACATAAATAGCATATTATTGCCTCTCCAATTCCAGTGTCTGGGTTCAGGATAACTATTCCTTTCTATACAATCATGTACACCCCAGAAGTTATACACTGCAATCAGGAATCATGGCTGGAACCTCTATGAAAAATACCATTTCTCAATCTTGGCAACTTTATGATGCATGAACTTCAACTCCCAGAATTCCACAGATGGCAAAGTTGTCTGTGGAATTCTGAGAGTTGAAGTCCATGTATCTTTAAGTAGCTGTATTAATAGTAATAATGCCATTAACGTATCTTTTCAGCACCTCAGCTAGCTTAGATTTTAAAAAGAAATAGAAGATAGCTCTCCCTTCTCACAAGATTGGTTTACATGAATGAAGCATATACTGAAAATATAAATAGGGGAACTGATGTTTGTTGAATTCTAGTTCATGCCTTTTATGAAAACCCTACACCACTTCAGACAAATGGTTATCCAATATCTTCTTTAAAACTTCCAGTGTTGGAGCATTCACAACTTCTGGAGGCAAGTTGTTCCANTGTAACTTTATTCAGTTGTGTGAAGCATGACACTCTTCTTCCAACTTCTTTAACTTTCTCCTTACCATATGAGAAAGGGTGGCATTCCCCACCCACCCTTGCATGTCTAATAACCTCTGCAAAGTGAACACCTAATCTGAGACTGATGTCACAAGAACACTTTTCATTTGGCTTGGGAATCAACCTTGGTTTGCATTACTTGAAATGTTGCCAAATGGACAGGATTTATACATTACATTTCGTAGTAAAACAAGGTAGGGAAAGCCGAATGTGGCCTCTAAATTCTTTATCAGACACAATCTTAGGTGACTTCTGTATTTTCATCTACATAATTGTGTGTGTAGGCAATGGATATGTATGTTTTTCTACTTTCTCCTTCTGTTGTGATTGTATATTGTTTGGAGAGGGCAGCCTACATATCTGGCCAGGAGGAGAGATGTCATGAATGTTGATATTATTGTGAACAGATCCCCAGCTGCCTCTGCCATAGCAATGCATTGAAGGAGTTTTGCTGGAAGTTCAGCCCTTGGTCTGATTCAGCCTAGTTTTTCTTTTGCGGCTACATAGCAAATTTGGTTCCACTTCGTTTCATTTTCAGAATTAATTCATTCATGGACAGATATGAATGGACAGATAAGAGTTTCCAGTCCCCTTATGTGATTGCTTTCCAATATTCCATTTCCAGAGCCTCATTTCTCCTTCATGTGTCTTTTTGTGCTGCATAAATGATGCTTCTTTCCTTGTAAAGGGGAAGCAATTCTGTAATTTTTCTCACTGAAATGCTTCACATTGTTCTGGGGATCCATTGGCATGTTTAGCTTCTGTGCATATTACAGAAGGGGGCAATCACAGCTCCCCAAAATGGAACAGCACATTATCTTCATTTCACTTTTGGGGACACGTTTTACTTCACAAAGCTACTGTGCTTGGAAGTGTTCTAAAACCTAGAAATGGCTATTTCAGCTTGGCATGCCATGTGAATAAATCTGCTGCTGGAATTCACCTGTGCAGGTTAAACAAATTATGTGAACATAGCCATGGGATATGGAGACAAAACAAGGAAGCATCTTAATATAACTAATAGTGAGTGGAGATACGAATGTAATGCCTGCCTGCAACTTCTTAAGCCAAAAGCATTTTTTTCCCTAGGATTAGGACTGTTGAGCTGCCAAGTGAACCAAAGTAAAAGTGAGACTATTTTAAGTACTTGCAAATTTGCACGTGTGTTTTTATCCTTTTGGCTTTACATCTGAAGTATCATATGCCCCTAATATTCAAGTTTTCAGTAGTTGGTGATTTAAGAGTTAATACTCATACTTTAAGCTGATTCCAAATAGGCTCATTACAATCTAATGCGTACATATCAGAGTTTTCCAGGCTTTGCTGTAATGGAACATGTCAAAGGATGACATGTTCATTCTTGAATGAGTGGCAGTTCCNAAGAAAATGAATCAAGTCCTGCTACACTAAATGAGACTTAATTTTAAGGAGGTACGCAAAGGTTGATACTCTTAATCCATGTATTTAATCAGAAAGAAAAACAGAGCAGGATGTGCCAAGTATCTGTCTTGGCACCTCTACTGTAATAACACATCTGTGGTTATTACTCAGTCTTGGGGTGGCATCTTATAAGAAGGGTTGGCCTGTCTCTCTCTTCATGGTAAACAAATATATCTCCTTCCTTTCCAGGGCCCATTCTGAAACATTCTCAAAATCTGTTTTAGAAAGTTGAACAAAATTTGGGGAAAATGGAATGTGGGCTAGTGCAACAAGATAGGAGCCCAAATCATCCTTGTGAAGAGACTTCTGGTCACACAAGAAGGGATTTGTCACTGGCAGTCAATGATTTAAAAGATCATAATGTAATTTTAACTTCAAACTGTTATTACATCATTACTTCAAATTAGTATACTTCCAAATTAAAGAGAGCAAGAAACCCTTATAGATCTTTAGAGTAGGCATCTCTAGCCATTTTGAAAAGTTTTTTTTGTTTTCACATTAAATATGCACCAATTTACTCCCTGCCCCACCTCCCCAATTATAAAAACAAAATACAGGAAAAAGAAAGAATTAAAAAAATGTTCTTAGTCTTTGGGAATACTGAATTGTGTGTGTGAGAGAGAGGGGGGGAGGGAGAGAGGGAGGGAGAGGGAGAGAGAGAGAGAGAGAGAGAAAAAAAAAAGCGTTGAGAACATAATTAATCATTATCATTTAATATATTTCATAAAAGATGCCAGTTGTGCTGATAGAAGAAATATATCAAAAAACCTAATGACTGTTTATCTAATAAATGATAATTTTATTTTTTTTATTAAATTTAAATTTTGTTTCTCAATTAATTTTGTGTCAATGCAGTTTCCCATACTTGAGAATCTGTTATCAGTCTAAGGATATTATGCTTTCATTTTTCAATATTTCAGAATGACCATTATTAACAATTAAAACTGATTTTTTTTAAAGTAGCACTTTTTAAAATGTAGAAAACATACCAATACCATTGCATGGTTCACTTTAAAAGATTGTTGTGATGCTTACCATTCCATCAAAAACCTTTAACCAAAAGTTTGGTTAACTGGGTATAGTAACAAAATAATAAATATAAGTTTATCTCCAGCACAATTTGGAAAAGATTGTGGTAGATTCATATAATTTTAATGCATTATGATGCTATTTAGGAATTTCTTCTATACAATTTCTTGATAACTTGATGAAATTGTTTTAAAAGAATTTTCACATAAGGCATTCCACTGAGATTCATGAAATTCAATGGCCAAATATTGTTTCAACAGCACAGCCTTTAAAGTTCTAGCTAAAATATGGGGTTGGGAAGGGTTAAGGTTACCACAGGTTTTTAGCAAGTGGAACTGCAAGTTAATCAATATCAGCCTTTGTAATTAACTTCACAAAGAAACTATGACCAAGATAGACTTCTGTGTCTTAAACCCAAAAACATCTGTTCCCTACAGCAAAATATTTTCCAGTGATGGTCAGATAAATAGGTCAAACTCTCAGACAAATAAAATTTGTAATCTATCTCAAAATAAAAAAAACCAACCATGTGCATGTCACCCTCCAATTTTCTAAAAGCCACAACAACAAGCTACTAATGGTAAAGGCAACACCCTGAATTATCCCTGGCAACAATTCTCACTTCACAGAAGATACTGAAGTAGTGCCAAACACACACATGCAATTCCTCTCCAAAAATGCATCTATTGTTGGATGCACCATTCTATTCTACAAAACTGTTTCTTCTATGTTACAGAATAAGGGCTGGATCACTTCATGTTCTATATACACAAAAGATTTAAAGATGGAATAACCAAAGACCATTTCCTTTGGGACTCTCCATGATCATTAGCCACAGTATGGTTTCCAGGGGCCCTAGAAGGCTTGTGCCTTTTGATATTTAGGCAGACATATAAATCTAAATTGTTGCACCAATACGCGGACGACACTCAGTTGTATCTGTCCGCCCTGTGTCAACTCAATGAAGCGGTGGACGTGATGAACCGGGGTCTTGAGGCCGTTAAGAACTGGATGAGAGCTAACAAACTCAACCCGGACAAGACCGAGTGGCTGTTGTGTTTCCCTCCCAATAATTTGNAATTCAATTCAATTCAATTCAAATATTCTATTGATTAGGAATTCTCAACACAGGATAAACACTTCAACTGTTGCAACTTTCAATCCATAGGCGAGGAAACATGGTGGTAGGAAGGAGTCTACATTTGGAAAAAGGGAATGGAATACCTTCACACAAATGTATGTTTATCCCTAAGTAGATTCAGGTAGATTCCTCCCCTCTCCTCCCCCAGCAATCTGTTTGGCCTACTAGACGGCAGGCCAAATTTCAGGCAGGATATTCTCTGCTGTCCACCTGCAGAAGGCATGCCATCTGCTGGGGCGCAGTTGGAGAAGTTGAAATATTTTTAGAATATAATCCAGTCTTTATAGTACTTGGCCTCTGCAGTGTGTGTATAGTAGGGCTGTGCAAAGAGGTGTTTTGCAAAATATGCAAGTATGCTAGCATAAGTAAAGCATTCTCTCTTTGCCTTCGCTCTTCTGCAAAGTTTGTTGTGATTGCTTCAAAACGTTCATAGCTGTGACTACAGATACTTGCACACAGAGCTGCCTTGTTTTTCTGGCAGTTTCAGAGAATTGCTGTCCATGTGTGCAACATGCACACAGCCAAAGTCAGTTTTTGAAACTGCCTTGCCAAATCTCCTATAAAATGTACTTCTTTAACATTTCAAGACAGTTATATTAGTTATATTAATCATGCTTTTCAAAATGCTCCATCCAAAAGCTTTGCACAGCTTCAAGTGATTTCTTTCTGGTAATGTCCCGACCATTAATCGTATCTTCTTAATCATTTCATAATACACTAAACATTGCTTAGCTACAAGAAACTGTAATTTAGAAAAGAGCTATAAAAACTATATCTAGGTTTCTTAACATATTTTCTTACAATCAAGTCATATAGGTAGACTTTTCAGAAACATTAAATTCTCAAACAAACTTACTGCATCTTTCTCCGGATTGCATGCTTTCACCCAAAGAATGTGATCCAAGAGCCAGTCAATTGGTTTCTCTTTATAAAACATAAGTATGAACTCTACAATGAGTGTAATATCTGGAGACTGAAACATTTTACCTGTAAATAATATATCAACAATAATTTAGCACTTAGTTATAAATGCAGTGTTCCATTAAAGAGAATGAATCCAAAACTCTGATGTTTAGAATCTGAACCAGCAAATTACTGCAAGTTGTTCTTTTTATATAATGTAGCACTATCAGATAAAATAAATTTGCACTTGAATAATTTAGGATAATAGGTTCATTTAGATAAAAAGAAAGGCTGAAGACATGGAATTGCTACCTAGAAGAACTCACTTTCAAACATAAAACTAAAACTAACATATATTAAATTTCATTTCTCTGTGCCTTCTCATTTATAAACAATTAATGCTCTAAACTATAGCAATAGCAATAGCAATAGCAGTAGACTTATATACCGCTTCATAGGCCTTTCAGGCCTCTCTAAGCGGTAAACTATCCCTTTAGAGATAAAAATTCTTAAAAACTGGTGTCCATCATGTATATTTTCTTTTCATGCTACAATTTTCTTCCCGAAATAAACATTATTATGTTATGTCTTTCATTCTAATTAAGGCATTCTCTCTCTGTGAAAGGGTTTTTGGGCAAAGGTGGTATTCCTCAAGTAACAAGAACCGTTGCATTCATTTCAGCAGATGTCAAAGCAAAGGCATCAACAGCAATCACCTTTTTTGTCAAATGCCAGATGCAGCATCATACCACTTTGACACAAGTTCTGACAACACTCGCACAAAAGGGAAAGTTTGCATCACGTTGGTGCAACACTGCTTTTGTCATTACTCCTTTTCCCTCTCTACTAAATGGGAGATTAGTCATTTGTTTCCATTAGTCAATTTAAAGGAGGTTGTTAGTTGCACATAGTATACCAAATGCTAGAAATTATAATGCCATACAAGTGAAGACTTAGGGAAGTCATACTCTTTTTTTTAAAGAAACCCAATGTCTTCAAAAACTTGTATCAGACTAATATTAACATACAAGTAGAATCTCTCTTCAAATATGGATTCAGAAGCAAATATTGAACTTCTGGCCTTGACAGAGGCAGAAATAAGACATTAAGAAAGCTTTTAAAACATTGCTTTTTATTTGTCTTAATCTATAAATGAAGTTTAGATGACCAAAGTTCATTTAAGGCTTATACTTCAATTTTAAAAAATTTATTTAAGAACTGCAAACATATAACATTATTCTCTTTTCCACCACATGCGTTTTGTTACATGTTAAATGCTATATACACGTAAGCTAGTACAGGAAATTTTACAACTGTAAAGTTGTTTTTGTATGTGGAAGGGGGGTTGTTAAACTATTTTCCCAGATTTTACAGCACTTTTCTATCCTTCCCCTTTTAAAAAATTATGTAATGGATTTTTTTTCTTACCTATGAATCCCAGCTGAGAGAATTCTAGAATCATCCAGTCTTCTGATGACAACTGAAGTGCAAAATTTTTTATTGTGCTGAAATAATTCTGCTTGACAACGATGTCATCCTCAAGCTAAGGGAACCAAGCATAAGCAAGTAAGCAAGCAAGCAAAATAGAAGAAATGAAATGAGAAATAAAGTTGCATGGGAGTGGCACTAAACTAAACGGATTTCATATTCAAACATACATGTAAATTCAGCCATCATTGGGCCTTTTCCTATTGATGACTTGAAATGTTCTCTGCCCATCCCTGAATCAACAGAAACCTGTCCTGATAAGAAATTTGCTATCCGTATTGCTACTCCTTATTCTGTCTCTGTAGCTTCTGTTTCAAACCAGTGTAATCATTTGAATTTCTCCCAAGCAGAAATTCTAATTTCTGTATATGAGGAATGGGGAACCCTGGGGAATTCAGTGAGTTGGTCCCCACATCTATTAGGGTTAAGAAATAATGCTTTAGACACTAAGAGATGTGTTTTAAAAATATTCAGGTATGTTAGTGTGTGTGTGTGTGTGTGTGTGTGTGTGTGTGTATTCAGAGTCACAACCCCTGGTATGCTCAAACATGGGAGGAAGTTTACTGCTTCCATTATCTGTCTATCGGCTCGTCACAAGAGACCATCCAGACAGAAACCCAATATTTTTATTTATTTATTTATTTATTTATTTATTTATTTATTTATTTATTTATTTATTTATTTATTTATTTATTT